CTACAAGTCTGACTTCTGGTCTCAGTTCCATCATGTTCTTACTAGGTGACCTTGAACAAGGTATTTAATTGTTCATGAATAAATCTCTTTGTCAGTTAAACACTATGGTAGGGGTATTACTGGTATTGTCTCACTTACCTTACAGGGATGATGCTATGATAATATGAGGATTTCTTATCACTTATACCACTTACTACAGTTCTTGTCATGCACTGTTTATGATGTTGGAGATTTTAAAAATATTTCTCCCACCAGACCAGAAGCTTCTCAGGGACAGAGATTATGGCAGATAGTTCTGTATTTTCCACAGGACCTAGCACAGAGTTTATAAGATTATGTGTATTAAATATATGCTGATTAAGGCAGCCAGAGTCCTCAAAAAGCCATGGCAAAAAAACAAAACAAAACTAAATAGAGTTATTTTTCCTTTATGCTTACTTTTAATGTTTGGAGAGCTTTAGTGACTACAGATGAAGCCTTCTCACTCTCCTTTAAGTTCCTATTCATAGGCGGGTAAGAAGTTATTTGCTGATGAGATAAGGCAGTTTTGCCCTTTGCAGAATGGCAGCCAAGAAAAATAAAAGATTGAGATACTTTTAGAAGTAGACCACAAGGACTAGCTTCTTTCTGAGTTCCAGATAATAGTCTTAATGATACTCTGAGACCTTGGGTGGTGCTGGTTTCTACCCATAGAATATGTCTGACCACTTGGGCTTTCTAAATTATTTTGCATTTCTCTCAAGTTTCTACAGGTATGAATTTTCTGAGTTAAAAGGGTAGGTGCAAGGAACACTGATGATAATAACCCAAATCAGAAGACAACATCATAGGGAAATGGCAAGCAGCAGAAATGTATTAGTTAACATATCCAAGTTTGCATTTTTGCTTAATGCTTCCAAACGGGGACTTTAAACTACCGTCTACAGTCCAATCCAATTATGCGACTTTTCTGTGAGTGCTTCCTAAGTAGCTGGCTGTCCTGGCTATATGGTGATTAACATAACAGATCTTGTTATGGTACTAATGAAGCTAATGGCACAATGGGTGAAAAAGACAACAGACAAGTAAACATTTAAATTACAAATGTTGATGCTATGAAGGAAGGAACTGAAAGTTTGAGAGTATATAATGATGTACATGTTTACCTAGATAGTATTGGCAGTGAAGGTCTCTCTGACCTGCAAACTGAGATTAAAAGGAACCAGACATGTGAAGCCCTGGAGGGAGGTAATTCCAGACAGAGAATAAATGTACAGAGGCCTTCGTCAGGAAAAAACTTGGCTTGTTCTAGAAACTGAAAACATCTCAGTGTAGTTGAAACATAGAGAATGAGGAAGAGAATGGAATAAAGTGATGTTGAAGGGCACAGGAGACATATTAGCTACAGCCTTTAAGCTATGGTGAAAAGTTTGGCCTTCATACAATAGAAAGCCAGCAAAGGATTTTAGGGAAGAGAATGACATATTTCAAAGAAAGATTATTTGGGCCACAGTATAGAAAGTGTTAGAAGGGGTTAATAAGTGCCACAGCAAAGGTAAGGGAGTATGGAAACAAGGGTAGTTTCCAATTCTAATATACTATCTCTACACAAAGCAAGTTTTGTGATTGTTGCAACTTATTTAACCTCTTTTGGTCTCAGTTTCCTCATCAGTGATATGGAAATAATCATAGGGCTGCTATGAGGATTAATGAGATAATATATGAAGAGTGCTTTGCCTGTAAATAAATGGTAGCCCTCAATAAATGGTAGTGAAAATTAATGTTAGTGTTAGATACAGTATGGGGAATGGATTGCAGGGGTTAAGACTGGAGTGCAGGGAGTATGGTAAATCAATCTCTTTCAATAGTCAAGAGGAAAGGTGACAGTGGCCTAGATTAGGATGGCAACAGTGGAAGTATAGATGGATTGGAGAGATATTCAGGAGGGAGAATCACCTGGTTTCTGATTGGATATGGGGGAAATGTAGTGATAAGGGTTAGCGAAATTCTTACTTTCCAGCTTGAGTGTCGGAGGAAAGTCATGATACTTATTGAGAAGGGAGGCTCAGATTCAGGAATGAATCACCAATCTTACACATTTTTCTGAGACAGGAACCAAAGATATATCTAGATTTAAGGGGAGAAAAATTGGCAACATAGGTAGCACAAGCCAACTAGAAATAGTCAACAACAGAACTAGAGGCAGAGAGAAACAGAGACAGTGGCAGAAGCAGAGACAGAAGGAATGTACTTCAACCTTAACCCTTCCATTCACCATTTTTCTATTAGTGGCTTCTTAGGTTGTTCTCTTTTATTAAATTTCAGAAATGTCACAGATTGTCCACAGTAAGCTAAATATTTCCTGAGAGAGCTTATATTTCTGTGCTACCCAAACCAAATTCCCCCAGCTTCACCCTACCATGGGAATTTTACATTTAATTGTCACCAGATTTGGGGCAAAATCCTCCTATCTTCCCTTCAGTCTGGAAAAGAGATTTTGGAAAGCAGAGCATGCAAATCTCTAAGCTCACAATAAACTGTGAATTGCAGAGGCATAACCCCCCCCACCCGCCACACACACACACACACACACACACACAGAAGGTGTGAACTTGATCTCTAGCTCGCTGTTCTGGCTTAATAAGTTTCTGTTATTTAACACAGAGCTGTGAATGGAACATCCCCCTTTAGTAAGTGAAACTTTCTACACCAGTGAAGCAGGAACAAATACCCATGTCTATAAAGTACAAAAGTAGGAGTGTGATTTGGGTGGGTGTGAGATGTTCTCAGTTCTTGGAACTGTAGTTTACTTGATGAATCTTCCCTTGGTTTCTCACAGTTTTTGCATGGATAATAGATAATAGTAGAAACATTGCCAATAATGAACTCAAAGTGGGTGTTGAGGAAGGATGGGTGTCATGTGTGGGGACAGGTGTTTAGTTATATTATAATAGCCTAACTAGAGTAATCCTAGTGTTATAAGATTATAAGGTCCCACTACGGGATTAGAAAGGTTCTTCTATAATGTGCCCTCCAGATGTCATAAGCCCCATTCTATTAAGTAGCCCCTCCTAAGCAGAGAGAAGAAAGTGGTGTAGTGGAAATTGCATAGGCTTTGGAGAAAAGAAGCCATAATAGTATATCCCATTTTTACTATTTTCTAGGTTTGTTACCCCAGAAAATTTACTGTATCTCTCTGAACCTCAGTTACTTCATCTGCACTACAAGAGTAATAATAGTACCTACCTCTGATGATAGCTATGAGAATGAAATTGGATAATGCATGTGAAAAATTTCATTGCAGATTCTGGGGTGCATTCTTGATAGTCACACCATGATAATTATTTTCTCTTTTCACCTGTGAACAACACTCCACCTTCTGTTCAAAGTCATACATACATAAGCAAGATGACTGCATGACTTTTTAGAACATGTCACAAGCCAAGTAGCAAGGATGAAATAGGGGAGGGAAAGTGAAAGTACTCTTTAGAATAATGGTAGCTCAGAATGTTGACTTTTTTGTATGTGATTTAATCATTTGGGGTTCTGTTTTTAATTCACATTTCTATTCCCTGGAATAGGACTTAAAATGCTATAAGAAGTCATTCTGCTACTGACGAGGAGAATCTAAAAGCAACCACTTCTTTGTTTTGTAAACTTACTTAAAACAAAACAGAAACAATTAAAACAACAAAAATGTTATTTCACCTAAGAAGCAACCTCACTACTGTATTCCACTTCTAGCCCTAAATGCAGTAAACATTCTTGCAATATGAACAGAAGCTATGCTTGTAAAATTTGTTTGGGGGAGGAAAACAAATGAAGAGAAGGGTGTTTATAAGGATTAGGCACTTTATAATCCCATTTGAAGTCCCAGATCTTCTGTTTAGTATCTTTTTGGCCTTAATAAACCTCTTTTGGTCTTACTTCTACATGTATTATGTGAAGGTTGACTTAAATGATTTCTTAAAGGTATTTTTCAGTCTAAAATTCTACAAGAGTTTTAAACTAAAATAATGAAGTCGTTGCTCTCTTATTATTTGCAGGCAGCCTGTGTAAATCCATGACCAGACTTTGAGAAACCCTAAAGATTACTTTATTTTACCCATGTTCTATATATATTACATAATAAAAACCACACTAAAGCATAAAATAAAATTAAGGACATTCATATTTTTCTTATGATGATGACTATTTTAATGAAAAAAGCATTAAGCTTTAAATTGTTTCCAAAAAATGATTTTTTGGTCTATTTTACTGGTTCCCTAATCAATGTTTACTGTGACCGTTGGATCATCTGCCATGTCCATGATGTCACACCAGTACAGAATTCTTAGGGAGAAAATTAGTCTCTTCCCTTTCAGATCACGAAGGGGAATTCCTAGTTCAGATTCTGATTTCATGTATTAATGATGTTTTTCATGTAAATTGGAATAAGACCTAAGCCAGAGAGAGAGAGAGAGACCACGTGTATGAGAACCACTTACGCTATTGTGATAGAATGATAAGAAGTTAGTGCTCCCAAGTCCTGAAACTCAGCCAGTATACTGGCAATGTGGGCTAAAGATGCAAGGCCATTTTCCAAGTGCTGTAGGAAGGAAGGTAGGAAGTCAGAACCCAAAGGAGAAGAAAGGGGATGTAAAAGGTAAGGCTTGATTTCTATCATTGCAATTGTAAATGAGCAGGGCTTGGGGCAAGAAAAATTTGGATGCAAAAAGAACAGACTGAAATGCCATACCCTTTTTGTTGTGGTAAGAACAATAAACTAAATATTTCAGGACATCCTTGCCTACAAGACACAACTTAGACAATTTGGGAGGGCAGTTTGGAGACAATTCCATGGTTTCCTGATTCATTAGGTGACCTTGGATCAGTAGTATATATTCCTTGAGCATCTGCTTCTTCATCTGAAAACAGGTCTTTTCTAATTCTAATACTCTGTTTCTTTAAGTATAAAAAGGAATCTGTGTGTTGGCTATAGAACTGGTTAGTCATTATACTCTTTTTCTTTGATTAAGCAGGGATTATAACTCTACGGCTTACCTTGATGAGTATACTGAAATATTCAAGATGGTTAGCAACGGTACCAGCAATGCTGAGACTGACTGCAATGCTACTGATGTGACATTTCAGAACTCCCTCTATGCAGCCACCTACATCCTCATATTCATCCCTGGTCTTCTGGCCAACAGTGCAGCCTTGTGGGTTCTGTGCCGCTTTATCAGCAAGAAAAATAAAGCCATCATTTTCATGATCAACCTCTCTGTGGCTGACCTTGCTCACGTGCTGTCATTACCCCTCCGGATTTACTATTACATCAGCCACCACTGGCCTTTCCAGAAGGCCCTTTGCCTGCTGTGCTTCTACCTGAAGTATCTCAACATGTATGCCAGCATTTGTTTCCTGACGTGCATCAGCCTACAGAGATGTTTCTTTCTCCTCAAGCCCTTTAGGGCCAGAGACTGGAAGCGTAGGTATGATGTGGGCATCAGTGCTGCCATCTGGATCATCGTGGGAACTGCCTGCTTGCCATTTCCCTTTCTGAGAAGCACCTACTTAGCCAACAACACTGAGTCCTGTTTTGCTGATCTTGGTTATAAGAAAATGAATGCAGTGGCTTTGGTTGGAATGATTACAGTTGCTGAGCTGGCAGGATTTGTGGTCCCAGTAGTAATCATCGCATGGTGTACTTGGAAAACTACTATATCCTTGAGACAGCCACCAATGGCTTTCCAAGGAATCAGTGAGCGGCAGAAAGCACTGCGGATGGTTTTTATGTGTGCTGCAGTCTTTTTCATCTGCTTCACTCCTTATCATATCAACTTCATTTTTTACACTATGGTGAAGGAAACCATCATTAGTAGTTGTCCCATTGTCCAAAGCACACTGTATTTCCACCCTTTTTGTCTATGCCTTGCAAGTCTCTGCTGTCTTTTGGATCCAATTCTCTATTATTTCATGGCCTCAGAGTTTCGTGACCAACTATCTCGCCATGGAAGCTCTGTGACCCGTTCCCGCCTTATGAGCAGGGAGAGTGGTTCATCAATGATTAGCTAAAAATAAAATAACTCTTCAATTATGACTTTAACTATGTTTCCTAGCTTTTCCCAAAGACCAGAATGACCAGCCAGACAATTGGTTTAATGGAAGTTTTGGAACAATGGAAATCTTGTGTGATAGTTGTGGTCACAGGGATGTAATGGGGGTGACAGTGTATAAGAAATGTGGGAGAGGTAGGGAAGATAGAATTTGCCTGTTTCCTCTTTGAAATTCAGGATACTTTCTTAAGAAACTTAGCTCAAGTTTTGACAGATGTTTTCAAGCAAATGAAAATTGGATTATTTTATCTTAAAAATTTCTTTAGAAAATATATTGTTAATATGATACAATAAATACATGAATCTTTTTCCAAACTTTAAATGCAAATCTCTTTTATATGAAGACTTTTACTTGTGAATGAGAATAAAATTCTTCAGTCTTTCTAAGAGATAAATGCACAGGCAAGGGGGAGTGACGATTGAAGTAATGTGTGCATAAATTTCAGGGCCACAAACCTATTACTGAATAAAGGGCATGGGAATTTGTTCATTCACCGAAAATGTATTGAATGCCTATTGTATATTGGGTTATCAGTTTCTTGGGTACTTTCACAATATAGCAAGCATCTCATCTGGCCCTTCTAACAAACTTGTGGAAGTTTCCAATACAAATGATAAGTAGAACCTCAGAGAGGGGAAGTAACTTGCCTCAGGATAAACAGTGGTAATCTAAAATTTGTCCTGTATACACCACATATGCTTAAGTTATTCCCTCTATTTGTGTTGTTACTTTTACTAAGTCAATATTAAACTTGACTTAAGTAGTGAAGACACAGACCAAAGCTAAGCTGCATGAGACCAAGACCATTTCTACACAATTTGCTTGAGATTATCTGAAAAGTCTGGGTTATGGGATTGGCAGATCAGGCTTCCAGCTACAAAGCATCAAATGATAAATAGATAGATTTTACTAATACTGTCCCAATCTACAGTTTAATGATTAGAGATATAGGAAACCCAAATAGTTCATTATTCCCTACCAAAGATATTTTAGAAAACCCATAAATAGATGAAATAAATAAAGAAAGAAACTGACAGATGTAGAAGTTCTTTATATATTTTGGATATTAACCCCTTATTGGATATATCATTGCAAATATCTTCTCCCATTCAGTAGGCTGCTTTTTTGTTTTGTTGATGGTTTCCTTCACTGTGCAAAATCTTTTTTATTTTGATAGTCCCAAGAGGCTATTTTTGTTTTTGTTTATCTTGACTTAATTGACATATTTAATGTTGCTGGGGGGGCGGCAAAAAATCTGAGAGATGAACATTTTGTGAAATTTAGATTTTTTTTGGAGCTTGCCCAACTTCTTTCTTTTAAAATATTACTATACATCACTGAATAAATTTGTGTTTATTAAGAAAGTTCTGTCAGTAGAGCACACAGATATTCATTAGAAACAAAAAACATTATCACATCATAAATGAATGGGAGGAAAAGCATTTGTCCTCCTTCTGGCAATCTCTTTATCTTCATTTTTCTAGTGGTTATATCTATTATTTCAGAGCCATTATGGAGGATTTGAATATAAGCAATCCTCAGCTTCTCAGTTTGGCATTTATGAAACTCAATACATCACTTACATCACTTATGTCTGAAATTTAAATAGCACAAGCACTTTGCATGCCAGAAGAAGAAGGGAAGTGGATGTCTTCAGTATATCCATTTGAACAGACTGGCTGAGGTGAAGGAAGGAGGGAAAACTAAAACAGAGAAATTAAAAGAAGAACAAGGTTTCTAGGGAGGAAGAGAGTTCTGTAATTATAAATTAATGCAACTGATTTTTTTGTGCTTTATTAACCTACCTCTGAAAGCACTGCTTAAAGAAGATTTCCAGATATGTTTGGAGTTAATGGAAGCATTATCAGAATGACTGTCTAGACGGCCCCACTCTAAGAATATAATTTTGAAAGAAAACTATTTGGAAGTACACATCCTGCTGTTTGCAGAGAAAAGGTATTTCAGTTCTAAATACTCACACTTACTTTGAAGTTGCTGCCTAGAGATAGAGCTTTGAACACAGGATTTGTAGATAAGTGGGCTAATTAATATATGTACTTTTCATTTGGCCATCATTAAAGTGGAATCTTTGGGCTTTTTTGACATATGAATTCCTATTGTAATAAGAGAGAAAAATATAACATCAAAGCAAGTAATGGCTGGTTCTTGAATTTTAAAGGCTGGGATGCCTTATACAATGCTGACATAAAGATGACAGTGTTTGATTTTATGAGATAACAGCTCAGTAAATCAGTGAAATTGCTTTAAGTTATTACAACGAACAATTTTAACATTTATCTGTATGCTTATTACAGAGACATGATGCAAGACAAATAAGACAGGAAAATATATCCCCTTGAATCAGCTTTTCTAAAAAGTCACCAAAAAAATCTATATATTTGCCTCCATATCTCTGCAAGATGCTTGTCAAAATTCACTTAGATACCATTCAGAATCTTATAATACTGATAAAAGACTCCTTAACCTGATAGTTTCAGTAAAAGGAAGGAAGAAGTTTTGAGAGATAAAATAACTTTGTACAATAATCTATATGACCTTAAATGCAGTTTATGCATGATTGGTTATGCTGTTCACTTTTAGAAAGTTTTAAATATGAGCAGAGTACAGATATAACACTTATCATGGATTAAATAAATTATTCTTATGTAGCATGTGGTCATTTTATAAAAATATTAAGCATAATACTCTTATTTGAAAATTTAACTTCCCTACAATAAAATTGCTACTGTAAGTAAATTATTTTTCCTTACATTCTTTTGCACATTTTATAGGACTATAACCCAACATAAAAGTAAAGTTAGTGCTTATGAATATAAACTTAAAACTGCTTTCCACTTTTAAGTAATAAGTATTTAAGTGTCATATTAACTCTGACCAAATACTAAGACTTTAGGTGCATTACAAATTCAATATGTAATTACAAGTAAAAGTATGCTATTATCCTCTAAGTCTCTGAAAGAGTTAATTAATCTCCCAGGGTTCAAAATTTACCACACATGAATAATTAAGGTATTTTGAGAATTTTCAATGTACGGAATTGATAACGTGGAAAGGGAACAACTGGTTTACAGAAGCTGAATTCCAAATCGGCTACTATGGGGAAAGGAAGTAGCAAAATTGCAGTAGCTGTTATTATAGGCTAGCAGATTTCCTGATCTTTTGGAGTTGGGGGTAGATTTCCATGACCTGAGAATTTCCATCTGAATTGGGTCTTACATGATGGCAATGTTTTCAAGTTGTTGCCAAAGAGGAAGAGTAAACATTCTTATTGGAAACCCTCTTGCGCCAAAGGTAAAAAGGGAAATAAAGCTGGGAGGTGACTAATACTGAATACTATAGTTTGGCTAGAAATATACAGGGGAGTAGGAAGTAATGAGGTGGTAAATTTTACAGATTTGGTTCCAGTTCAAAGTGGCAACATTGAAAGACCCTGAATTCACCTCCTCCCAAGGACATATCAAATCTAGAGCTATATAGAGAATAATTTTCTATGGGGAAAACAAAAACAAAAATAAAAACTAAACACTGGCAGAGTGACCCCTTTACATTTGAAAATGTAGGGAAACCACATCAAAGTGGTAAGGAAAGCTGAGATGCAATCTCACCATAAACTCTTACCCTGGCTCAGTGATCCACAATTGAGGTGGGGAGGGATTCAAAAATCTGGAGCTTCAACTTGAGGAGCAAAGTGTTTATACCCCATATTGGGCAACCCAATTTTTAAGACTGATACGTGAGAGACAAGCCTCAAAAACATCTGGCTTTGAAGGTCAACAAGCCTCAACCCCATGAGACCCTCGGGGCTGTGGCAAACTGAGAAACAGCTCTTAAAGGCCTCCTTTGCACAGTCACCCATTTTAGGGCTCAGTACAAAGCAGCCCCTTGAAAAGTGTCTAGACTTTATGTGAAACAGATTAATTTGCGAATTTTAGAACATTGGTCTGAGGGTCAGGTATCTGCTGAAATATTCTTAATACTTTTTAGGGACCGAGGCAAGAAGACAATATCCTCCTGCTCTCCCTCAGGCCTACTAAAGTCAGCGGGCACCATCTTTTTTTTATTTTTTTATTCTTACTTTCCTTATTTTCCTTTCCCTTGTTACTTTTTAGGTTTCTGTTTTTTCCTTTTTTTTTTTTTTCTTTTTACAGCAGTTTCTACCTTTGTACTCCTTCTTTACTTCACTGCAGCCAGTGGAAACAATTTTTGCTCTTTCCCTCTGTCACATTCCAGAGCACTAGTATCTTCTGGAAGAAAGCTTCCACACATATCTGGTGCCCAAATTTTTACATTTGGTGACCTGACTTTTGTGGCTGTTGCCTAAGGGATGTCTCTTGATCACCTGACTCTGGAGACCTAGCAGGCTTGCAATTTTAAGTCCCATGGGATTGTAATAATTGAAGAGACAGTTTGTGGTATATTACCACTACCAGGATACTGCACAGATTATCAGGTTGAAATACACACTTAGTCTTTCTGAGAAAGAGAACTACTTGGGTGTGATCTTTATACTCCCTTGCCTTGCTGCAGCTCATTGGTATCTTACATAAAGGAGTTTATACCATTTCTGGTGCCATGATTTTTGTGGCTGCTGCCAGAGGACACCTCTACATTGCCTGGCTCTGGTGGCTAGCAGGGCTTACACTCACTAGTCCGACAGAACTGTATCCAATGGAGGAAGCATTCTTTAACAGCTACCACTCTGAAGGCACAGCAAGGGACAACAGACCCAAGACCTCACTCTTTCTGTGAAAGTGGTTTAATTAGCTTATCATAGCTGCAGCCTGAACATTAAGTTTCTAATTAAGCATATATCTAAGGCCTGAGTGTAAACCTTTCTTGAGACCTTAGAGGGTGGCACTATTTTCATGTTCTTCCTTTGCCAGGCTTCAGAGTGCCAACATCTCTGAGGTAGTGTATATAAGTATCTGGTGCCCCAGTTTTTATGTATGGTGCCCTGGTTTTTGCAGCTGCCACCGGGAGATAACCCTTGAATACCTGGCTCTGGTGGCCAGGGAATCTTATGTTTCTGGGCCCCACAGGTCTGTAACAATCAGAAAAATAGTTCTTGGAAGGCTACTACCCCCAAGGCACTGCACAAGCAGCAGACTGAAATACACACCCAGCTATTCTGTTAAAGAGGCCTACTTGCTTGTCCTGGAACTTCAGTCTTAGGGGCAGGTTTAAGGTTTGGCACACATCTAGGAGCTATAAAGTTGCTCTCAGGAAACATAACCTGGGGCACACTACCATTGTGCTGTCCCTCTACCTCAC